ATGTGTAATAGTTTGCCATAAATGCCAGAAGCGTCTATTTTGACGGTATTGGTTTGTATTATCATATGCATGTTATTGTTTGTTATAAATGTTAGAAGCGTCTATTTCGACGGTACTGATAAAATAAATCTCAGAGACGTCTAATCAGACGATACTGATAAAAATATGCAATATCTGCATGAATATTTCAGTATGTGTAATGTCTATGTCTAATGTGTGTATATTCATAATTACGATAGAGATGCATTATTCTAATGTTGTACATACGAATACAAATATAATATTACTGATGTATTTATATGTATTACATTAGAATATTGCATGTCTATCGTAATATGTAAATATACGCACATTAGACATAGACATTACACATACTGAAATATTTATGCAGATATTCTGTATATCTATTTATACATTATATTAGAATTTTATGTGTATCGTATAATGTGTGTGTATGTATACATATAGTTTAATTTTATTATTACATAAACAGACGGTAGTAAATATGAAGTACACTTACATTTTATAATAATGTATGCACATATACACACATAGATCAGTGTACACAAAATGTTATTCTATTATTGCATATACGAGATGCATAAGTGATACATATGCAATTCTAGACGCATAAATGATACATATGCAATTCTAGAATAATACTTTGTGTGTATGCACTTATACATTATAATAAAATATAAAATGTAATTGTACATATTCACTAATTCACTAATTCTTCTTATACAGTTATATACAGTTATATGTTAGAATTAAACTGAACACTTAATTAATGTGTATACATGCACACACATTAGGTGCATCCAGAAGCATGACCGTTCACTGAGCGCTCAGTGAGCTCTTGCTTCTCAGCTCTGATTGACATATTCCGTTAGATCTAAAATTATAGACCAATGCACCCATTGTAATACATATAAAGTTCAAATATTGGCTGCGTATAAACAGACATGGAGAATATCTGCACGAATATCTATGTGTAAATAATTTCTATCTGTAATGTGTATATAGTTACACATTATAATATGTACGTACATACAATATTCTAATATTGTATTGTGACGTGACATTTTGTCCGTCACTGTGCGGACTCGTCGACGGCGGACTCGCGCCTCCTACCGGCTCGAAGGGCAAGCGCGTAGGCGAGCGCGCGTGCAAGCGCACCTGCGAACGTGTGTTAAAACTCGCGCCACTTATTTTACTCGGCGATAAATCAGAAGTAGAGAATCTCTACAAGACCGCGATTGGAAATTTGAGCAAAATAAATTCAAGTACACTAAATACACTACCAACCTCTACTCCTATCAAACCCTCCGGATCCAAATCCGAAACCACAGACCTTTATTTCGCTGAATCGGGAATTTTTAACCCTTCCGAGACTCTTATACCTAGCGACTCCGCCGACGCAGACGACATAACTAGTCAACCGGTGCGCGATTTCAGTGATATTACGTCCAGACGTCAAACAGTTGTAGCCATCCCTAAATCAAGGGGCCCTAACGGAACAATGACGCACCACAACCCGTTAGCTACGCTAAAATACGCCGTCGAAGCCGTACCGTTTTTCGATGGCCAGAATATTCCTATAACATATTTTATAGAAGGATGCGAAGAGGCAAAATCTATATTGCCTCCAGAAGCCGAATAGCAATTCACGAAAATTATAAGAACTCGAATAATCGGTGAAGCGCGTCGTACCATACAAGATCAAAATTTCGACACTATGAGTCAATTAACCAACTTCTTAAAACAAATTTACGGTCTCTCGAAAAACGTGTATCAGTTACAAGGAGAATTAGGGTGCGTTTATCAAAAAAACGGAGAAGATGTAGTTACCTACGCGAATCGAGTAAAAATCTTGGGCAAACAGATATTAGAAGCACACCGAAATACGGGAACGGGTTTTTCCGATCAAAATATTAAAGCGTCCTTAGAGAAGGACATGTGCAAATGCTTCATTCGAGGACTGAAACCAGAGATCGAACAAAGAATAGCGAGAAATTTAGGCGTACAGGATAC